TCTCCATTTCTAAGAATTGAAAAATGAAGCCAAAAGAACCCTTCCCTTCTTGTGCATCTTCTTTGTACTTTTTAAGTTCCATTTTCAATTCATCCAGAAGTGGTGCCATTGTATAAATTTTTAAACAACCACCCGATTGATTTTAGTCATTCAAATATAATAACCAAAAATCCAAAGATCACCAAATAATCCAAATACACACAAGCTGTTTCTTTTTTGCTCTTTTTTTCATTTTCTCTTCCTGGGGTTACTATTTAGTTGCAAAGTTTCAGTTAAAATGTATCTTTTAGAAGTCTTGTCGAAGTTTTACTTTAAATTCTTTTTAATTCCAGGCAGTCTCCTCCCTCTTCCAGATCCTGCCCTTATTCTTTTTCTCTCCCTTCCTGCTTATGAAAAAGAAAGTTTTTAATGTCCAGAAATCTTTATTATCCCTTTGGCATTTTGTTTTATTTTCAGCTTAATTGCCTATTGATGTCAAAGCGGATTTTTCTGATTTCTTATTTAAGTCTCTTAATTGTCAGTATAGGGAAGGAGAGAGAAGAAGAAAAAAGCTAAACCTTTCCCTTTTCACTTTCCTTCGCTGCTTCTGACTCTTCTTTGGGAGCGATGATATTTTTTGTAAGTTTAAATTCCAGGGTACCTTGGTTGTTGCTTTTACAATTTAACCCGGTCAGCCAAAACTTTCACTTCTTATCTTCCTCCTGCACGTTCTTTTCCAGTCGAGTTCTTCTTTGTGGTGGCCATTTCTGACCACCGCTGCAACCGCCTTTGGGAAAGGGAGTAATGGCCAGCTGAGGAGGAGAGATACGGCTCTCCTCGACCTGCTGGCGGTCTCCCCCCTCTTCACCACCTCTAGGGGGTGGCTTAGCCCCGAAACCAGCCAGCTCGGGGTGCTCCAGCAGCGAGCCCAGACAGAAACCACGCACGACCGTGGATTTTTGTCTGTCGCCGAAGCCCTTCAGACCAGAAGTCCCCTGATATAGCATATAGTTTTAACCAATTAGCTGAGCTAACTGAAAACTGCTAAGCTTGTGTTAAGATATCTGAAACAAACAATGCATTATGCATTATATTTGGAGCCTAAGGATGAACTGAGTTTAACTGCATATGCTGATGCAAGTTTTGCTACAGACGTAAATACACGTAAATCTACATTGGGTACTGTAGTATTATTAGGAAAGGTGTTGATTGGATGGAGGTCTATTCGCCAGATATTACCTCAACAGTTGCTCATCCAAGCAACTTCATCAGTCAGAGTAAAATTAGGCAGAGAATCATTGGAATATACCAACTCTTGCCACACCAATTTCAATTGAATCTTGACTCTCTGACTCTCAGAGTAACATCTCGGATTAACAAAGTTTGGTCCAGTTGCCATAATTCAACCTTTAGTCAGCTTTGGCCTGCATGATTCGGTTTTGATTGACATATATATTGCAACTCATTTGCGGGAGAAACACCTGAATTTGGTGTGGCAAGAGTTGGCACATTCCAATGACCGTCTGACTCTCTGCCTAGCTAATTTTTACTCTGACTGATAACACTGCTTGGATGAGCAATGAAATATCTCAGATTACCAACCTTTGGTCCAGTTGCCATCATTCAACCTTTGGACACTTCCATTTTTATTTCTTCCTCTTTTTTATTTTTCTGAGTTTAATTTGTATTTGATTTTACTATTGTACTGAAAATCTTTATATATTTTTTTAAATTAAAAAGTAAGTAAAAGGTAACAGAAAAAGATTGGCTAATCTGCTCTGAAAGTGGGTTATAGCAACTGGGTGCAGTCTTGTTTTTTAAATGATGATAAAATTGTTGTTGTTTTTCTTCTGTTCAATCATGTCCAATTCTCAGGGACTGTTGAACAAGTCCCTGAATTTTTCTTGGCAAGATTTTTCAGAAGTGACTTGCTACTGCTTCCTTCCTAGGGCTGAGAGAAAGTGAATAGCCAGATTCATGCACATGGTAGCGCTTGAATTCACAATCTCCTAATGTCTAGCCTGATGCCTTAATCACTACACCAAACTGTGAATACATAACATATCTTATCATATCTTAACATAATACATATCTTATCTTCTTATTTTCTACATCCAGGTTGTTTTGTGTGTGAGAGAGATGTGTTTTCTTTGTGAGCTCCTACTTGCAGTCTGTATTAACAGAGGCCAGATACTGATTTTCCCAACTGACTGAAAAGGTGTAGATGTATGTGTATCTTCAAATAATCACGCAATATAGATCCAGTTTCTCTCTTTGCAAAAGGGAAGACAGACAGGATAGTATGGCATTGACTGAACTACTGGCTCCTTGTTAAAGTTCTGTATGATTACTTAAAAAGTTACAAATTGATTATTTAATTGCCATAATAACTGGTTACGATTTAATAATTACACTTAAAATATTTGGAAGGATTTTCTGGTTCTGATCTTCACTTTTGTTTTTGGTGAAACTGTAAGAACAAGAAAATTGCGATGTTTTACCAACAATTCTAAGAAAAGCTAACCTATAGATCATAGGTTTAAATTGTTTTTTTCTAAAAGCATAGTGTATATCAGGAATAAAATGTCCGTGTGAATGTAAAAGAGCAAGAGAGAATCTGTGTGCTGATTTCACTGCATCATTTTGTAGGTAGGATTCCTGTTTTATTTCTCTCGCTTCTATTTAACAATTAACAGTGGGATTTGCAAGATTTGGCTCAGTCCTTCAGAGTTGGGAAAACCATAGATTCATAACATAATGGATTTTAAAAGGGACCATTGTAGGCCATCGTGTTAAACCTCTCTTTTATGTGTGAATCCTCCCTAATGGAAGGCTGCCTGTAGACATCCAAAAAGGAAGCCCATATGTTTCCCTCAATCAGTGGTTCCATACTCACACAGCACTTGCATCCTCAACACTGAGCCGGAATCAGCCTTCCTATAACTGAAGCCTGTTTACTCAGTCCCACTTAAGACTTTTCTTCTCCAGGCTAAACAATTCCATTTAATAATCCCTTTGGCAACCATATCACTCTTTGGTGGCTCCTGTTCCAACTCTTTTGGGCCTTTCTGAAAGTGCAGCTCCACAAACTGAACAATGAGCAGAATAAATGGAATGCTTTATAAATAAGCGAGAAAGCCAAAGACTAGCAAAAAGAAGTCAATATGTGCTTCATATATTATAAAAAGAGTTTTGAGAAGGGCTCAGAAAAATGAGAACCCCAGAATCTCATTGTCTTCATGAGAAACTTACATACAAGTCAGGAAACCACAGTACAGGCAGAAGAACATGATAAAACAGACTGACTCCAGGTTAGCAAAGGGGTACAAGGCTGTGTACTTTACCCTTATATTCGATCTATATGCTGAATATATATTAAGGGGAACTAGACTAGAAGAAGATGGGCATGGTTTTAACACTGGAAGAAGAAACATCAGTAGTCTATATCAGCAGTCGCCAACCGGTGGGCTGCAAGAAAATGTTGGTGGTCCACAGAGAAATGTCATCCCCAGAGCCCACCCAAGCAATTAATCCAGGCTGTGCCACCCACATAGCCTGCGGGAACCCTCCCCGCCAACTCACTCCTTACCCGGCAAATTTGCCTGCTAAGTTGCTATTTTTCTTTTTTTTCCCCCAACCATCAGCTGTTCTGCTGTGCTGGAAGATTTAGATTAGCTAGAAAGCAGGAAATCGTTGCATTTCTTGCTTTATAGCTAGTATTTAGAGTATCTGCAGAGCCAAACCTTCCTTACGACTGAAGCTTCTATTATTCAGTGCAGACTCACTGCAAGCAAATTTTATGTGACAGACTCAGGTAGCTGATGGCAGATAGATAGATCTCTGAATGATTCTGTGAGCAACTCAATCTGCCTGCCTGCTTTGCCTGATTTGGGGTAAAAGTTGCCAAAAGTTGCCACTACTCCAGCTACTATTTTTTTATTTAAAAAATTCAATATTTACATAAATATTTATAATATTTACATACAAGCCATGCCCAGCCAGTCACATGACCACCAAGCCACACCCATAAATTAGACCATGCCCACAGAATCAGTTGTTAAGAAATTTGAATCCCACCCCTGCTTCTGTGTGTGTGTGTGAGAGAGAGAGAGAGAGGGAGGGAGGGAAGCAGGGAGAGAGAGGGGTTAAATCAGATCTCCCCCCCATCCCCCCAACATCAGCAAGCCACCGTCAGTCAAAATTCATATTAGGATTTAAAAGTATGAGTTTGGTGATCCCTAAGGTCCAAAAGGTTAGCGACCCCTGGCCTATATTATGCTGATAGCCCTACCCTGAAGTTGAATATATAGAAAATCTGCAAGTTTTAATAATGAAAGTCAAGGAGCACAGTGGAAACTGGGATTAAAATTAAATATAAAGAAGACCAAACTAATTAGAGTAATGTACAATGACTTTGTCAGGGAAGATACTGAAAATGACAAATAGTGTCTGTCTTTTAGAATCAACCCTGAACAATAAAGGAACAAGCAGTCAATAAATCAGACTAGCTGCACAGGGATCCTCAAACTTGGCAACTTTGACTTGTGGATTTCAACTCCCAGAATTCTCCAGCCAGCTTTGCTCGCAGCAGCAGTTTTTTTTCCGCCCAAGGGAGAGAGAAACATCTGCCCCTACGTAGTCTTGAACTCCCAACCTTCCCTGCACAAGTTGATTAGCTTTACCGCATTTTTCACATGCACACTTTGTAGGACAGTTTGTACATGAAATCAAACAAGGAATACAAATATGCAAGCATCTTGTTTTTAAGTATACAGCTTTGCTGGCTGGAGAATTTTGGGAGTTGAAGTTCACAAGTCTTAAAGTTGCCAAGTTTGGAGACCTCTGAATTAGCACTTAGAAGAGTTACCACAGAAGCCTTGGAAAAGATATTTCCATGCCATGCCCACAGCTACAAATATCAGAATTGTGTAATCTATGGTATTCCCTGTGACACTCTATGGAAGCGAAAGAAATGGTGGCCAGCCCCGAGTCTTCGCCTCGTCATCTGCCGCCCGCCTTACCGTGGCGTCCTGCCCTGCGTAGCAGCCGATGGTCCGAGAGCCCCCTGGGTGCCTCCTGTAGAAACGGCTGATGTCATAGACTTTCCTGTCAATCACCAGCCAGCGGTCCCCTGGCGGGTCTCCCTGGCCAGTGCGCAGCCCGATCTCTTCCCAGGTAAACCACCGCGAAGGGCAGGGCAGATCGGCCTCGGGATCAGCCTCCCTTCTCCGCCTGATCCCAGTTTCGCTTTGCTGGGAAGCCATCTTCTCCCCTCGACTGAGGCTTCAGGAACTTGGCACTGTCCTTTTCAGCACCATCTGGAGGGCGGACTGGGCGAGTCCCTGCGAGGGAGGTTCTTCCCTTCTCCGCCTTCGATTGGCCGACAGTTTCACTGCCGCTAATCTCGTGGGACAAACGCAGACTGAGAAACTCCGAAAAAGTAACTCGGCCGAGCCGAAGAAGTTCGGCTTTTCGGGTACGAAGGAGGGGCAGGCTGCCGGCCGGTGTGAGTCATTGTATTTTGAAAAATTGCCCTCCCCAGCTAGTAGTGATAGGACAGGAATCAGCTGTGCCAGTATTTCTTTATTATTGGAGAACAGACTGGGGTGGGATTCAAAGAGTCACTGTTAATTTATCTCTGTCTGCCTTCTCTCCATCCCTGGAATACTACAGGTTGAGAATTTCTACTCGCTATACAGATAAACTAATACAATTCAAAACAGTTTTCATTTGAATAGAATTCTTTATTCGCCAAGTGTGATTGGACACACAAGGTGCAAATGCTCTCAGTGTACATAAAAGAAAAGATACATTTGTCAAGAGTCAAGAATCATCAAGTACAACACTTAATAATAGTCATAGGGTACAATAAGCAATCAAATCTTACTAGGAAACAGTTAATATAAATCGTAAGGATACAAGCAACAAAGTTAGTGATACAGTCACAAGTGGATGGGTGATAAAGAGTGATGAAAAGATTAATAGTAGTAGTAGTGCAGACTTTGTAAATAGTTGGACAGTGTTGAGGGAATTATTTGTTTAGCAGAGTGATGGCGTTCGGGGAAAAACTGTCCTTGTTCTGGTGTCTAGTTGTTCTGGTGTGCAGTGCTCTATAGCGTCATTTTGAAGGTAGGAGTTGAAGCAGTTTATGTCCGGGATGTGAGGGGTCTGTAAATATTTTCACAGCCCTCTTTTTTACTTGTGCAATATGCAGGTCCTCAATGGAAGGCAGATTGGTAGTAATTGTCTTTTCTGCAGTCCTAATTACTCTCTGGAGTCTGTATTTGTCTTGTTGGGTTGCAGAACTTGCTTAAGCATTATAGTGGCAAAACACATGTCTTACTGGTAGCTTGGAAAGGGAGGGTGACAGGGGACATATCACTAGTAAACTACCTCATCTTGCAGTTGCTCAGATACCTAAACTCAGATCAAATTTGTTTGTGTCTTGGGAAATTTTTATTTCAGGGATTATGTTTACTCTAGGGCCTTACAGTTGTTCTCTCTATTTTGTATTTATTCTAATGAAATGGTTGCATTGCAACAGGCCCAAAAATTACTTTGGAAGCCTAGAAACAGACTTTTCAAAACAACTGATTGAACATTGTGTGCCACAGCTGGATCTCTCAGCTAATGGGACTTTTTCTAAACTGTTAGAGAAAATGCTGAAGGATCCAAGAAAATTTGCAGTAGTGTAAATACAATTAAAACAGTATGGTGACAGAATTTTACATGTTTAAAGATTTTCAATAGGTCAACCTAAAATGTTATAAACAGTTTCAGCAGCAAGGTAGAGGGAAAGACAAAACAATGAATGAAGTATCTCTTAAATCAGAAACCAATGGATCATCAAACCAACCAACCTTGAGTTCTCACTAGAGACACAAATGAACAGGCTCAAATTATCCTATTTTGGACACATTATGAGAAGGACCTAGCTCTCTGGAAAAGACTGTAGTTCTGGGAAAGATGGAAGGAAAGAGAAGAAGAGGATGACCAGCACCAAGTTGGATGGACTTAATTTCATTGGCAATGAAAGTATCACTGGAAGACCTGAAAATATTTTTTAGGGATCATGGAGGAAAATCTGTGTGTTCAAAAACAATTTGATGGCATATAATCAATAACCACGATTTAATTTCTAAATCTTGATGCACAATGAACTTTCCCAAAGCTTCCTTCTCTTTAAAAAAAAACCTGCTTTTTGGCACCAGCAGATGAATGATTCATAGGCAATAAGCCAACCATAGGCTGATAGTGGTAAAGAATTAAGAGGATTCACTGCTCTGGCTTGAGAATGAAAGTCTGACATCAGGACTTCCACAGTACCATCCCTGGGAATAGTGGTTCTCTATGCATTGGCAGACCTTAAATGTTTGAAGTATAATTAAATACATACCTACCTGAATAGGAGATGTTTACAGGCAATTGTTACTGAGTTACTTACTCCCATTTTCTTACCCGTCTTCCATTGGAAGGTAACAAATGGGATGTTTGTAAAGGAAAAGAGAGCAGAAAAGAGGGAAGTCTGGAGACAAGTGAGGTTTGTCAGGAAAGCTTTTCTAATAGGCTAAAAATCACCTCTTATTGAAAACTCTTAATAAAATAACCAGGTTTGTCCCAGACAGCCTATTTAAAAACATCGAAAATTGAGTTTTCTCAAAGTGTATTCTCTAATTACTATTGTTTTATTTCTCATAATTACTTATTTCTGCATGGAAGCCATGTGGTTTCTTGGGATGTCTTGTATGAACCATATCCCTGCTCACGTGAAAACCTTTCTATTTTTCTGCTTAGAGGTGCCATCTTTCACTTAGTCCATTAATGCTTTGGAGTGCCAGACCTCTAAATACAGCATTTTCATGACTGCCAACTAGGTCCTCTGGTCACCAAAACCATTGGGAAAGAGAGTCTCAAGAAAATCTTGATTCTTTGCCTGGATTTGCTCATTGCTTTACCAGCTAGGGGGAAAAAATTGCTGCAAAGGAAAAAAGAAAGGGGAAGGAAGGACTGAAGCAAATAATCCATGCAAGAAATTATTAAGACATAGGAGAGATTCTCCAAAAAATGAAAGAAAATGAAGTACACAGAAACATTTCAGCAGGAAGATGCTGAAACTGATGCAGAACATAATGGGAAAACATTAAAGCCTGACTGACTATGTCACCAGCTTCTGATCTGATGCTAAAGCAGAAGCATAAGAGTACTCAGCAGCAGTATAGTATATTGGTGTCTTCATGATGCTTTCACATACATACAGAAAAGAATAGACAGCATAACTAAGTTCACATGACAGAAAGTATTAGTTTGCCTGAAGCCATTGCCTAAATTAATACTAAATGCTAAGATGTTAGTAACACATTTCATCTTCCTGAGAACAAATTCCTTTGAAATCAGTGGGGCTCACTGCTAGGGCCCCACTTTTCTGGGAATTCAAATTCAGCAGGCACCCTTTGTTAGAGGGTGTGCTCAACATATGCAGACTATTTGCACGCATGCAAATATGCAGGTTGCTATTTATATAGCAGAATAATATTCTTCTCAATATCATCTTGGATGCCCAGTGCAAGTTTAGCCCAACTATCAAAAATACCAGCTGTTTAATTTCAATTTATGGAAAAAGAAAGCCTCACTTCTATATGAATTACCCCTTGAAGAGAGGAAAATACAAGAAATTCACACAGAGCATTGATCAGAAAACTGTCTTTTATCTCTTAAAGACAAACTGTCATATAACTAACCATAGGGCAGGCTAGAAATAGACACAGGGTCAGTAGGAGAACATCTTCTCCTCAGCTGTTTGTCATCATTTGCCAAAAGATGGCAAAAGGACAAAAGGCTTTTAGGTGAAAAGAGAGAGGAAAGTTGCCAACAACACTTTTGAGTGACATCCATACTTGGAATCTGAGTGATGTGCTGGAAGTTTCATCTTACAAAAATGTATGTAGGGCTCAGGACAAAACCTATAATTTATTTCATTTCATTTACATTTATAAGCAGTCCTTGCGTTACCAGTGTAATGGAGCTTGCCCTCTACAGTGGAAGGTCAGGACAACATTAAATGAATTGCCTCAATCAATGGCCAGTCATCACTGCTTTCTCCAGTATATTCTCTAAAGATGGAGTTATTAAGTGGGAGCTGAGGGGTGGGGGAGATCCTGGGAGGCCTAGCGCAGGCACAAGACCATTTGTTTCAGGCTTCTCAAGGCCTACCCCACTCCGCATGCAGGCCCACCACACGGCTGACTGTTTTTCTAAGGAAAAACAATGGGGAAGGAAAGCACTGCTTTCTGAGCCCCCTACCAACTGCCCATAAGGAGACTGCAAAGCTGTCCTGCTTTTTGCCTGGCTTTGGGAAGCCAGCCCTTGCATAAAAGGCAGCTTTAAAATGAAATTCCAAAAACCTTTCCCTTGTTTAATCCCCTCCCTCTGTTCCCTCCGGCAAAGAAAACGACATTTCTTCCCCCCCAAAAAACTGGGAGGGACAGACTTCCCTCCCCCTCCATTACCCCAAGTTAGGTATTACAACTAAACTCTGCTCTCCAGTCTCTGTCCCTTTTAAAAACCTTGCCTTGACTCCAGAATAAAGGAACACAGCAAGCAAGGAAATAAAATCTTTCTGCAGCTTTTTCCCCTGGACTAAAAAAAAAAAAAAAGGTCATCGCCAAAAATTGTGCAACAAAATGCAAGCTTTGGCTGTCCGTCTGACTGCCTGTAGGAGTCTACAGCCTGGCTTTTAAGGGCTCTAGGATTAAGTGTTACTCATTACAGAGCCTCCCTATGATAGGAAGCAACAGTGGCTGGAAAGAAAGGGGCCAACTGGAGGGCTTCACCTGCTGTTCTCTTTCTCCTTTAGTTCTCAGCAACATGCAATGTTGACCGTTCCTGGTTCAATGGCTGGTTCATTGGGCACCAGAACTTCCAGACTGAGCATGAGTGAGTATAAACTGGAGAAGAGGCCAAGGCACAGAAATGTGTGTGGGAGGGGGAGGCCTTCCAGGCAGTCATAGATCATACATTGCTGATGTTAAGCAGGGCTGGCATGTTTTGGACCTAGCAAAAGTTCTGGGATCATCACCTGACACCTTCTTTTCTTTTTGCAGCCTTTTCCCCACCATGCCTCGACACAATTACTACCAGGTGGCTTTTCTGATCAAATATCAGTGTGCCAAGCTCAATGTTCAGCATGAGTTCAAGCCCATCCTCACAGCTTTTGCAAATGCAGTAAGTTCAACCATCTGAAGGAGCCTGGGCATCACTGGCAGGGGAGAGGGAAAGGGTGAAAGTTAGGTAAATAAAATTAAGAGGATAACTGGTG